AGGAAGTTCTGGGTGCGAGACATCTGTACATAAGCAGGGTTTGAATCTTACCTGGAATCCTCTCGATTTTCTTTTATAAACTCCGTTAAAGAGATTGACGGTGTTTCCTGTAGACAGTAAAAGACAGTGTGGCAGGAAGTGGTTTGAGTGCTGACTTTCTGTTTGCTTGTCCTGAGCAGGTCTGCAGTAAAGCCTGATGGACTTGGGCAGCTCGAGATCTTGTGAGCTTTTGTGCTCTGGGACAGCCCCAGTTAGGGGTCTGTCAGAGTCACATAGACCCATTGTCTTTTATTTTTAGATCTACAATCTACAGTACAGAGTCTATACAGTATGTATACAATTAGATTTATACAGCATCCTATACATATATTTCTATTTATGCAAATCAGTATCACTGCAATCAGTGGTGTCAATATACAACTCTACACTACTGAATGTTTTTGGCTTTGCAGTATGCAAATAATTTATGTACAGTTCAGCAATAGTTTTGAAATGAAATGATACCAGTGATGATACACAACCGTTAATGGGGTTGAGTTAGATTTCTTCTTGTAGCTCTTATTGATGTGAAATAGATGCTTATAAATTCCATCTTCTTTCAGCTAAAAATTCAAACCATTAAAACCAAAGAAAATACAGTCAAATCAGGACATCGGTGCTGAAGTAAATTAGCACAGGGTTCTTTAGATTTAATGTTATTTAGATCAGAGAAAAATATATTCCTGATGGTTTGAAATTGTACTCTTGTACGGTTTTAGAAAAGACTGTGTGGTGTGGTGGCTTTCTTTGGGGATCTTTCTCAATAATTTGGCAGTAGTGTAGACAGTAACAGTATGAAAGGACTGAAATGCTCTTCTTTGGCTTGAATCGTTTTTTTCAAGGGTCTTAGTGGAGCGGTGACACTGTGGCTAAGGATCTGAGGCTGTGGCTGGAAGGTTGCTGGTTCAAATCTCACAGCCAGCAGAGGAATCCTACTCTGTTGGGCCCCTGAGCTCCAGGGGTGCTGTATATATGGCTGACCCTGCGCTCTGACCCCAAGCTTCTCTCCCTGTCTGTGTGTCTCATGGAGAGTTGGGGTATGCAAAAAGATGAATTCCTAATGCAAGAAATTGTATGTGGCTAATAAAGTGATATTCAAAAAAATGTTACTTTATCTCCAGTTACATAACACATGCCGTACATGTAGTGAAAGAGGTTTTAAACTGACACATCAATAAACCAAACATTTCCTGGACAGTTACATCTGTCCCTTTATCTCTGTAGAGTGTTTCAGTACCTGATATATGGAGTGATACTGTGTTTTGATATTCTAGTGTAAAATATTTTAGGAATACTTCAGTTTCTGTCACACTAGATAAATAAATTCACATGGGTGCCCCAGGAAAATTCTCCAATAGCTCACTTTCTCAAACTTGTGTCTACACCGTTTGGAAACAATGAAAGCATCAATAATGAGCAAAATGTCTCCCAAAAACACATTTTAAAAAGTCTATTGTGACAATGCATTAGGAAATAGGATATTTTGGGGTTCGGTACTGTATCCCCTTTGACTAAGGGTGGACAACTGGCTTTAAAAAGACTCAGCCAAAATCTTTAGCACTTTGACAAGACCAAGCCAGCAGAATTCCCCCTCGGACTGGTTCCAACACGTTTCGACATCATCAACAGCAGCAGCTCGGCAAAACGGAAAATCCTTTTGAAAGGAGTTGAGCATTCACCTCCTAATTGATTTTTAATTAATTACCAATTCAAAAGAAAGCCCTCTATAGCACAGGTTGCTTTCAGAAGGATACTTATAGGCTATGACCTTCACATTTCTGAAGTGCCAGCGGAAAATAAGAGCTCTGAATATGTATGGAAACTTGCACACATTTGTACCTCACAAAAATATCAAGAAACTAATTAGCGATTGTGATTGTGAGATTTACAAATTGGGATTTTGGGGGCCCAACAAATAATTTCTGAAATAGTGACATCATTGTACTCTTTTTAATGATTGTACTGTATACAACAACATAAGACAGTCACAGATGAGAGGAGATAACCAAGATCTTCGAGCTCGTTTGCTTGCTAGTGGCTAATTAATCCAAGGAAATCAATGTCTTCAATATGACCCCCGTGCACTGGTAGGAAAAAATGGAGATTCAAAAATATTTTATATAAAAAATAGTTTGTATTCTGTCTTCTCTGTATTTTCTTATAAAGAATGAGTCATAACATTTTAACTAGTTCAGGTGGGTAGCTGCGTCAGCATGCGTAGGCTGCAAAGGAACAAGTAATAGGTTTATTCCATGCTGAAAAGAAAGAAAACACAACGTTTCATCCTTGGAGCCTTCTTCAGGGTATAAAATCATATTTTAAGCACTAAAGTGACTTAAATGTCTAATCCAACATGGACTGTGGCCCAGCCATTTCACAGTCTGAATGATATAGCCACTGGCGGCCAGTAACCAGGATTAACCACAACGGTTCATTCAGGATGAGGGGCTCTACTCACGCCACTGGGCTGGCCAATACCCCAGAAAGCATCTAATATGCTATAGGGTCCGGGGGGAGGTGTTAGTGGGCTGCTGGGACACAGTATTGGGATGGTATGACTTAGACATTTGTTCACTCCACATGACCTTCGTGGTCACAAGAAAACTGACTAGAATCGTAAGAAACCTCAGAGCCTCACTGTGTGCTCTTCTGCCAGTCTTACAGGAGCGCCAGGCAGACTTTAGCACAGGTTGAAGTCTAAACACATGGATCAAAAACATGGCAGTTGTAGATTTTCTCTTATCCTGAAATCCATGAGGACCTAAGGCAGGGATGTGAAATCAGGTAACACACGATCCCGCGGAGTTGTTTGGGTTCGAATCAGAGGAGCTGATTTCAGGACAAGCTGCTCCTTCGTAACAACATGTTTGGTTGCACCTGCCAGAGCGCTGGTTTTTGCAGGAGGATTTAATTCCTTTTAGGATCTTCCAGGCAGGGCCCGTGTCTCTGGGCTACACTTCGCTATTTAGAGAAGCGGTTCTCACAAGTGCGCGTCAGTGTTGGGGAGGAGACGGACCCCCTGGGGGTCTTTCACTGTGTGGAAAACAGTGTCACATTCCTGTGATGCTGTGTCTCTGGAAGTGTGCAGTAAGGGAGGTCTATCTTTGAGCAATGAATGAGGGTAAATTTGGACTGTAGATGGGCTGGCACCAGTGAAAGAATTGTTTGTGCCTGCTCATTGCATCAGGTATTTACCAACTCTGTATTATTGCTACAGTACATTAAGCAAAATGTCATGTTCTTTATTATTTCTTCAGGTATGTACCCACGAACAACACATTATATAGAGCCATTCTTTGTTACTCTTGCTTTTAAAGAAGTCAGTTCTAATGAGTTTCCAGTTTTTACTGGAATTTGAGCCATTTGGTAGTGAAGTGAATGTCTTGCATAATCTGTAAAAACCTTACAAACAATCCTATATGTGAATATGGCTGACTAAGAAAGGAATTTTGTGATGAACTTGATTGCTTTCCAGACCCATGCTAATAATGTTCTCAATTGAACAATTCAAAATAACAGCTGCTGCCCTAGAGGACACTAAAGTTAGCTAGTGCTCAATTTAGGACACTATAGCTCCATACTCAATCTGCTCGTTTGTTGCAATTAATCCTTTCAGATTAATCCATAAATAATTTTCTCCCACATGTGACATACCAATGGTCTGATCGCATGAGTGGGTCTCTGTACTTAAAGAGCAGAGACAACATTGCTCATGT